GTCTCTACAGCCAGAGCTAAAAGCCAGCCAGCGCCCAGTTAAGGCCGTAGAGCCGTGGTCACCAACCAGTAGATCGCGATCTACCGGTAGATTTCAGGGGCTCTAAGAGTCGCTCTTGAGCCCTCTCTGAACTGCGCACCTGCACAGTACATTTACATTAGATTTCCTCATGTAATGTAGGCGGGGCTTCAAGGAAGGGGCGGGGCAGTAGATCTTCGCCTGTTCTGAGACTTAAAAAGTGATCTTGGGTGTAAAAAGGTTGGAGACCACTGCCGTAGAGCAAACTCATTCTTTCTCTCTGTAAGTGGTCTAAGTGCCGCCCCATAAGACAGTGAACCACACCCGGTAGGTGCATGGGTTACCCAAGGACATACACTGCTTTGCTCAGTCAGCTTTTACCCAGAACAATGATGTCTCTACCCACAAAGGAGTTGATGTCCAGTGATGCTGAGCCCCTACAGCTTCCTGTAAGCAGAATTCAGGGTGCTCAGCACTTTGGCAAATGAGGCCCATGGCAATAAAGGCGGTTCGAGGAAATTGTGAACAGTGACTTCAGTCCTAGGGGCCCTTGTACAATGCTCAGATTGGGCCTTACCTGACCCAGAGCATGAGTCTTTCTGCACACAGGAGGTGGCAGCATTTCCCCAAAGGCCTTTGAGTTCAAAATCATTTTATAGCAGAAGCCCTTTATAAACAAACAACAATCTGGAGAGAAGAATTTTCCACGTCTTTCCTCCGTGTGCCGGAAGCGGGGGGAATGCTGGTTTCTTCTCATGCTTGCCTGATGGGTGATTCCATTAGTAATCTGGGATGGAACTTGCCTAGTTCTAAGGTGTCCAGATCCAAGGTTTTGATTTGATCCATTAACCCCAAAAACCAGCCCCAAGGCATGAAACCAGGCTGACGCCTGTCACTTCTCCACCCCCAGCTCTTTGTTCCAGAGGTTTGGTTTTGGCCCATCACTGATTTACAAGTTTAATGTTGCCAGTCACAGACCCATTGAAGTGTTGAGCTGAAAAAAGTCATCTTGTCCTGTCTCTGTGCTGAGGCAGGACCAGCGAGAAGCAAGTGGTAAAAGAAGTGGCCTGTTTCCTCAACAAAAGGCACTTCAGCTTTCTCTGACCATTCCAAGCTATATAGGACGCAGTAGATCAAGTAGGAATCTTTTTTCCAGGATAGATAATAGTAACACTGGCTCCTATGCAAACTGTAAGTGGATGCATGATGGTTTCTTTGCCTTTGGCTTTCTCTAGCTACTGATAGCCTTATTCGGGAGGATAGTTAGGACCCAGTCTTTGACACTGGCCAAATTGGGTTGCTCCTTTATGGGTTGCACTTGAGACAAATGCCAGAGCTGTTCTGAAAAGGGAGTCCACACTGAACACATATTGCTCCTTGCTGCACCCCTGGCTATGGAAATTCTGAAATCTTGATTCAAAAGTATTGAGAAGTCTCTATTGAAAACCTGGTACCCATATTCTGTCAGATGAAAATCCCCTGCTAGAATGGAATATAAATCTCTCACAACAGTTGTGGTTGCAGCTTGTTTCTGGGTGCCAGTTTGCACACCTCATTCTTGGGAGGCACAAGCATGAAGTCTGCATTAATTAAAGAGGATCTCAATGTGTTTTTTAGGCATTCATTAAATCATGGGAGGTAGGTAGGGGTTGTTATCTCCAGTTTACAGATGGGGAAACTGAGGCATAGAAGAGTGAAGTGACTTGCCCCAGTTCACACAGTGGAGCAGTGCCAGGGCCTTTCTCACTCTCTATTCACTGTTTTAACCACTCACACACTCCGCTTTCTCCAAGAGGTGGGCTCCATCCATCCAGAGAGTGCTTTACCCCCATTAAAAAAGCAACATCTGGAAAGATTGCTGCTGTCAGAAAGTACAAATGCAGGGCTAGAAAAAAACATAATAAATGGTTACACGTCAGTGCCAGCTACAGCTCGGCTCTACCTCTGCATTTGTGGCCAACTTCCAAGCTTTATTAAAACATTGCTTCCCGAGAAACATACTGCACTGACCCTTCGCTTAGCAAAAAAACAAGGCAATCGGAATGTATGAGCTGCCATAGCAAGACACCAATAAAAATATCTTTGAATGAAAGATTCTCCTGCAAGCCCAACTCTCCCCTAGCCAGCATCACTAGAAAACACCATACTGTCACCCAATGGCTGAGGTTGGTATTCAGTGCATTTCTATCAACCCTGAGTGTTCGTTTCAGTACAGTTCTTGTTGAATGGAGCATTGCTGTTCATCTAAACACCAATGATCTGTATCATATGGAAACGGTCCAGACTTCTCACATAAACTACCCAGATAATAGTTTTCCATCCCAGAGCTGTATCTTTCTATAGGGGGAAGCAATAATATTTCCAGGGGAGATTGAACACACAAAAAAGCAGTGTTGCTTACAGACAGGCATCGTCTTTCCCAGAAGAAAAAATTATCATAGTTGCTCACGCTGCCAGCTGCCTTCATTAATCTACTTAATGAAGCCAGTCCATCAAATGGCGAGAGCAAAACGCGGAGAATTGTGATGTGTAGCTCCTGTGTCATGCAACTTGCTCGCTGTATGAAACACATTTGTTGATCTCTGCACATTTGTCTCTCTGTTTAATGGGGAAGCTCATTTCTAGACAAAATGTGGCGTCCCAGCATGGATAGTACTGTGTAAGTGCAAAGCAGTATTAATTCTTCAGTACTATTTTAATTTTTAAGGAATCCTTCAGATAGAGGTGCAGTTTAATATAATATTTAGTTCTGTTTCAAATTTTCCTTTGGTTTCGGTATGGTGCTTTTAGCATATGGCAAATGAGAACCCTGAAAGAGAATCATTACTGTATGTCCTCTGATGGATGTATTATTTTTTACATAAATCAGGATATATCTTACAGGCTTGGAACTGGGGTGTCATACATCTTCATGCTGTCATCGCATCAGTAGATCTTGGAAGGCTTTTTTGGGGAATATAGACAGACATTTTATATAGAAACATTCCAGCCATAAACTTCTTGGCTGTGTCTAGACTGCATCCCTTTTCCGTAAAAGGGATGCAGATTAGACACATCGCAATTGCAAATGAAGCGGGGATTTAAATCTCCCCCGCTTCATTTGCATAAGGGGCTTTGCCAGAAAAAAGCGCCAGTCTAGACGGGGATCTTTCGGAAAATAAAGCCTTTTCTGAAAGATCCCTTATTCCATTTTTTAAGAGGAAAAGGGATGCAGTCTAGACACAGCCCTTAAGTAACAATGTAACACCCGGCACTCTCACTGAAGGGTTTTGAAAACACATTACTCAGATTTGGTTTTTGTAGCTTTTATGTGTCACTGAGAACTCCTTGATGGACCAATTTCCTGCTCTTTTCATTGTATCTAACGTAAGAACATTAGAATAAGAATGGCTATGCTGGGTCAGACCGAAGGTCCACCTAGCCCAGTATCCTGTCTGCTGCCAGTGTCCAATGCTAGGTGCCCCAGAAGGAATGAAAAGAATAGATAACTATCAAGTTATCCATCCCCTGTCACCCATTTCCAACTTTTGATCAACAGGGACACCATTCCTGCCCATCCTGGCTAATAGCCATTGATGGACCTAACCTCCATGAATTTATCAAGCTCTTTTTTGAGCTCTGTTAGAGTCTTGGCCTTCACAAAATCATCTGGCAAGGAGTTCCACAGGTTGACTGTGTATTGAAGAAGTACTTCCTTTTGTTTGTTTTAAACCTGGGGTGGAGAATCTAAGGCTTGGGGGCCAGATTAGACCTCCAGCTTGACTGGACCCAGCCCCCGAGGCTCAGGGCTCCCCCCCACTCAGCACTGGGGAGCCTACAGGACTGGAGGACTCAATCTATTACTAGCCTGGACTCCACTAGGCTCTGGCGTGCTAATAGAATGTGAGGAGTGTCTTTCTCCTTCTCAGTTGGGGGCCACATCAGTGAGCGTTTAGTTTTTGTTGTTGTTGTCATTGTTGCTTCTCACTTGTGTGTGGCCCCTGACTGATTTTTCTATGGGTCAGTGGCCCCCGAACCAAAAAAGGTTCCCTACTCTTGTTTTAAACCTATTCATTTCATTTCATCTGCAAGTTGACTTAACTGTCTACGTAAGTACAAAATTGGAGTCTGCATCTGCATCCGTAAAAATGATCTGCAGATATCCACAGATGTGGATGCGGATCTCCATGGCCCATTTCTGCAGATACAAAATTTGTATCCACATCAGTATCTAGAACCCTCTTTATATCCTTGGGACTCTCCTGTTCTCTGCATTCACATCCGTGGATGTGGATATCTTCAGATCATTTTTGCAGATGCGGATGCGGACTCCAATTTTGTACTGACACAGTTAAGTCAACTTGCCTTCATAATTCTGGGAGGAAGGTCTGCATTCCCCTTCATTTCACAGATAAGAAACAGAAGCACAGGGAGTTAAAGAGAATTTCAAGTCAGAATCCAGAAGTCCTGACACCTCAGTCCTCCCTGTGCTTTAACAATTAGACATCACTTCCAAGAAGGAGAAGTGCCTAATGGAATTATTTTCAGTATCCCAGGTTGCAGCTCTGCCCTCCTCCCAATCTGTGGTTTTCTTATACAGTATGAGTCTGTAGATTAAAATGTGGGTGGATTGACCATGAGAAGTGTAAACTGGGAAGCTGGAAGGTAAAGCAAGGACAAGGTTCTGGCTCCGTCTGTATGAGCCAAGCATTGAAGCTAATCAGGCACATTGAGCATGAACAGGAAAATACAAAGAACATTCCTAAAGGTCAATGTGACCTCTAGGAAGAAATGCCAGAGTATTCACCCTGGCTTGGCACCTCCTCACTCGGGGAGACAAGGCCAAGACAGAGCTAGAATTGAGCCTGGGCCAGACTCCAGCTTTCACTGACTTTGCTCACTCCCTCTCTAGAAAAAATGTTTCCTCTTGAGGAAAAGAACCAAAACAACAGATGGGGCTGGCTGCTGGATTTTCATTCTTTTTGCCTTGTCTTTTGATTCAGGAGGAGCTGCAGATGCTCCTAGGGAAGAAACTATCTATCCAGAGCCAACTTCGGGATCCTGACTATCGGTGGCAGCTGCGGATGAAGTTTCTAGAGCAGGCAAAGAGTTACATAGGCGTGCCCTATGCCAAGAAGTACCACGAGCCAGGCAGTAAGTGCAGATCCTTTTAGCCAAAGCTGAATTATTGTGCAAAGCTGCCTCTCTCCCCGCGTCTTTTCTCAACCAAGTGACTCTCCCGTTCTCCTTTATTGTATTCCTCGCCTACTGCTGACATGCTTGCCTTGCTCCCCAGCTCCAGAGTATGAATCCCCACTTTTCCTGGACTGCTGCGGACTGATTCGGAGGGTGCTGTGTGACTTAAAATCAGAATTTGGCTTTTGTATCGGTCCAGGAAACCAGGCATATCAGTACGACACACTCCCCATCACTCTGCCCAGTGAGGAGCACATGAAGCCAGGAGACCTCATCTTCATTTCAGGAACGTACTTCAACACGGAACGTAATGTGGACAAAAATATCTATTCATCCATCCACCCCCTCTATGCCCCTTCTATCTATTCACTTAGCCATCCATCCTCATATGTATTCCCACCATCTTTCATGTTCATCCATCCATCCAGCCCAACCACACATACTACACCATCCATCTATCCATCTATTCATCCATCCTCATGTGTATTGCCCATGTGTACCCCCTCAGCCATTTCATCTAAGGGAGAAATATACAACACTGTTAGGGAATGTCTACATTACCACCCTAGTTCGAACTAGGGTGGTTAATGTAGTCATTCGAAGTTGCAAATGAAGCCTGGGATTTAAATATCCAGGGCTTCATTTGCATCTTGCTGGGCGCCGCCATTTTTAAATCCCCGGCACGCGGCACGGAGTAGGTAGTTCGAATTAGGATCTCTAATTCGAACTACCGGTACACCTCGTTCCACGAGGAGTAACGGTAGTTCGAATTAGAAAGCCTAATTCGAACTGTCTACTCC